GTGTGTGTGTGTGTGTGTGTGTGTCTGTCTGTCTGTCTGTCTGTCTGTGTCTGTCTGTCTGTGTGTGTGTGTACATTTTAAGTACATATTATGTAAAATAAATAAATACAATAAAACAGCAGCTCACAATTGCTAAAATCAAATTTATTGAACACCATAAATAATTGTATAGGCCAGGGGTGCCCAAACTCGGTCCTGGAGGGCTGGTTAATCCAGCTAATCAAGCTCTTACTAGGCATACTAGAAACTTGAAGGCAGGTGTGTTGAGGCAAGTTGGAGCTAAACTCTGCAGGACACCGGCCCTCCAGGACTGAGTTTGGGCACCCCTGGTATAGGCCATCTTTCATCCCACTCTCTAGTTATCCATATTGATTGATAGTTAATTTACCAAGTTAGTTTAATTTACATGTTAGTTGCCATACTAACCTCCTTTTTTTTTTTCTTAAATCTTTGACATTTTTCTGACTGCAGTGGTCTGAAATGGCCTCTGTGAATGCAGCACAGCAGCATCTTAACTTCTCCAGCAGTGGGGAGGAGGACAGCAGTGACAATAGCTTTGATGAATGGGCACACAGGAGTGTTCCAGTCAGAAGCCCCTGTCAGACACCCCGGGTACAGCGCCACCGCACCAGGAGTATCACGGTTTCCCCCTCCATCCCTACCTCTCCCATTCCGTACGCTGCTTGGAAAAAACTCCGGCTTTGTGACTCACCCAGTACACCAAAGGTGACCTTGCAGCGCCTCAGTTTCATGTAAACTTTGATGTGATGACCATCTGCTGTATGATTTGCAGTAGCAATACATTTGACCCTGTAAAGAATTGTTCATCGATTTTCCTCTACCCACAGAGTTTGCTGTCTAAATCGACCCTCCCTTGCTCTAGCAGCAAGCCATGTCGCAGTCAAAGATTCCTTCGTTTGTCTACTGCTTTTGATCGTGTGCCCTCCGTGAACGTTAACCCTTTCACACCAGAGACGGTGCGTAGGAACAGTGAACACCACAAGAGGAAGAGCCAAAGGAGTGTTGAGGATGAGGGCGATGCACAAAGGTAACAGCTCTTTCCTTGCCTGTTGAGGAACTAGATTTACATTGAAGTACCATTACCTTACAGATCTAAGGAAACTCAGAACTCTTCAGAGGATGAATATTTCTTCCTCCCCTCAAAGGTATGGTTTCAAAGACCATTGCTTATCCTTGTCTTTTATGTAGTAGGTTTATGTATTCGTAATCCCACCAAAAGCTTTGGCAAATCTCTGTGTTCTCTCACACGGTCTCCCATCTGTTGGCCTTCAGAGGCCAGCAGTGTCAGCCCGCATGTTGTCGCGTTATGAGAGTGAGTTTCTAGAGCTGAGCTGCATCGGCGTGGGTGAGTTTGGTTCTGTGTATCGATGTGTGAAGAGGTTGGATGGATGCATGTACGCCATCAAGCGCTCGCGCAGGCCAATTGCAGGCTCCGCCAATGAGTGAGTCAGTTTTCCAAATTTAAAACCTCTAAGGACAATTCTAAATATGGTTAGATTCTGTATATGGTTTTTGTGCTTCCTCAATGAATCTTAGATTATTAGATATTTTTTCCCCCCCCTCTTCAGGCAGCTGGCCTTGAAGGAAGTGTACGCCCATGCGGTGTTGGGCCATCACCCTCATGTTGTGCGATACTACTCCGCATGGGCTGAGGATGACCATATGATTATACAAAATGAGTATTGTGATGGTAGGACAGAAGCTCACAAAACTACATTGACGGTCATGTGTTTGGTAATTGGAGTTGAGACTTTTTACTTTAACTTGGCTCACTCGTAGGGTTTTTTGGTCTCATAGGTGGTAGCCTCCATGATGCTATAACTGAAAAAGGAGAGCAAGGAGAGTTCTTCAGTGTTCCTGAGCTGAGGGATCTGCTCCTTCAGGTCTCCATGGGGCTCAAATACATCCACAGCCTAGGCCTAGTGCATCTTGACATTAAACCCAGTGAGCTTTGGTCTCTTTCATTGTTTCTCGCATGCCTATACCATTCGATGAAAACTGGACTTGCACATGTTTAAATTTCCATTCTTTTTAGGTAATATTTTCATCTGCATTTCATCAAGTGCAGGTGGAGAGGGAGATAGTGAAGAAGAGGATGAAAGCCCCTCCTCTGGGGTTGTATATAAAATTGGTATCTACCTACCTGTCCATGTGTTTAACTGTTAAATGCATAAATGATTTGCCAGTCTTGATTTACATATTTGGGTCTTTAGTGACCTGAAACACATTTCTAACATGGATCTTAACTGCCCCAAAAGTAAACTCTCTTGATATTATTAGTGATGCACCAAAATGACTCCTAAAGGGTTAGTTCATCAAAAAATTAAAATTAGGCTGTGTTTTACTCACCCCCGATGCATCCTAGGTGTATATGACTTCCTTCTTTCAGACGAATCCAGTCGGAGTTATATTAAAAATTGTCTTTGATCTTTCAAGCTCTATCGTTGCACTCAGCGGGTGTTGCAGTGCTTCGGTTCAAAAGACCTGAAATAAAAAGCACCCTTCCATAAAAAAAAGTGTCTCACATGGCTCCGGGGGGTGAACAAAGGCCTCCTGTAGTGAATCGATGCGTTTTTGTAAGAAAAATATCCATATTCAAAAAGAAATAATCACTTGAATCTAGCTTGCACTCACTGTTGTAAACGGAAGCAGTTCCGGGGGAATGACGTATGAGGTCAGCGCTGCGCATGCTCCGCTCAGAAGTGACGCATGTGGAGAGATCGAAACAAAACAACGGTCACTAATTAGAAGTACAAAATGAGGATTTGTAAAGAAGAATGTCGGAGGATTAGTCATATAAACCTAGGATGCATCGGGGGTGAGTAAAAAACAGCCTAATTTTCATTTTCGGGTGAACTAACCCTTTAATCAAAAGCAAAATTAAAGTTTTCATCTAGCTGAAACTAATTTTGGTAACAACTCTATATGCTGTTCAGAGTGTTGTGTACCCAGGTAAAAAATGAAACGAGTATAGTAAAGTTGTTTGGCAATGAGCAACCTCGTCATATTTCAGACAAAATGTCACTATTTCGGTCCAATTATTTGGGCCCTCTAAAACCATTTTGTGGGGGGGGGTTGTTTTAACCAAATATTTTCAGATGCCAAAAATGTCTGTGCATCACTAAATCTAATAATGACAATTACAAAATATTAAAACAAACCATATTTAATTGACATTTTATTTGTAATTGGTTTTGATGTGTATTGCTAAATTGATGCAATATACAGTAGCTGTATATAATAATGTTTAATTTATATAGCGCCTTTCCCAGGCTCAAGGACGCTTTACAAGGTACACCAATACAACAAATACTCATTACAAAGAAACCATTTAAGTGGACATTGGACATTTGCCCAATTCAGTAACAAAATAATGTATATATGTGATGATATGAATATCTTGTTCTTTAGGTGACTTGGGTCATGTAACATCCATCTCAAGTCCTCAGGTAGAGGAAGGGGATAGCCGCTTCTTGGCCTACGAGGTCCTGCGAGAGGTATGGTACCTGTTTGAACTTTATCTGAGTGTTCTGTTTGTTGCAGTTTAAACTATAGCAATCTTA